GTATATATAAAATATATAATACATAAAAAAATTCTCACAACATTATAATAGCAATCACACTCCACCAACAACAGTAATAATAATAACAACAGTAATTTATAAAAATTTAATAATAATAATAATAATGATAATAATAAGGATCAACTGGTCCTGTTGAAGACACTCATAATCTTCATCAAATCTTCATGACGCAGTTACTGTTAATTCCGTTTTGCAAGTCGGGATTGGAAAATCCCATTCGTCTGAGGAATGTATAAAAACAGCGCATCTCAGATACAAGCCAAATCCTTCTGGCCCTGGCAGCCTTCAGCATCAGCGGAAACTTGACAAGTGCTTCCCAGCAGCGCACCATGCCCTCTATATTCAGTAAGTAATTTGCAGGCTGTGGTGCGCGAGTTTCCTGCGTATCTTCCTCTTTTCATTCATTCATTCGTTCATTCTTGTTCTGTCTCCCCAAGCAGATGTGCACGTTCTCTCTGCGGTGATGCTGGCCGCTCTGCTTCTCTGCGCTTCCAGCGCTCCGATTGAAGACGGAAGTGTGGCAGGTGACTTCTCAGGTGAGGAGACGGAGGAGGCGGAGATGTCCACTGTCAAGCCTTTTAATATATGGAGGTCACACTTTGACTCAACTCAAGAATACGAGAAAGCGGTAAGGGCCTGCTCATTAACTATGATTAACAGGTGTCATCAAGTCCGATTGGGGTTCTCTCGGACCCCTGGGACTCTAAAATACTTCCAGCCTATTTAAGTTGTATTTTAATTCTTTTCTATTAGTTTGAGCACCATTTCCAGACTCTGGAGAATCGCGATCAAGCTTTGGACTCCCACACCCCCGCCTCTATCCCGAAGCACTGCAATATTACCAAGTTCAGAAAGGTGAGAGCTCCTTTCTCTTTTTCTAATGCTGTCACTAACAAAGGTCGGTGGAGGGGTTGGGGTTAGTTCGATAACTCGGGCTGTTCTTCTCTCCTTTGTGCAGGAGACTTGTCTCCAGACGCTGGCCAAGGGTCTGCTCATCTATTCGGTTTTACTCAAGCACGTAGAGAAGGAGTACCGCGGCAGTTTGAACTTCTCCGACGCTCCGTCAAACATCGGCACTCTGATCGACCTGGCCGGCATGGTCAAAGGAAAGGTGGGTTTGACACGCGTCTTTAACTATCCTCCGAGGAAAAGTCAAATTTGACTTTGCAGCAGTCTCTTGGGTTTTTCCTGTCAGTAATGTTAGGAAGACAGATAAAGTAGATTTACTTCAGAAAAAAAAAATCCACTACATACAGATATTAAAAGTAAAATTCACAATAAAAGGTGACTTCTCTACCTTTAGCTGTCACAAAGCCCAGTAACAACATTTCTATTGTAAATGTGAGAGGAGCAGCAGTGATAGGTAGCACAAAATCTCAATTAAATACATCACCTCTCATACTACATCACTGTTTCACCAGAATGCCTGTTGTCTTAGTACTGTCACATTTTCACTTCTGCGTCCTGTTCCTAAATAACACCTCATTCTACCATCTCTTCTGACCCACAGATGAAAAACAGCAATCAAGTCACACCGCTGACCAGCAGTGAGGAGGAGCAGCTTCTCAAGGAGGTCAACAGCCCAGATCCTTACCACAGCAAGTTGAACGCCTACAGCATCCTGAGAGCCCTCAAAGCCTTCCTGAGTGAGGGGAAAAGAGCTGTTTGTAGAATGGAAAAGCAACTGAACCAATCAGCAGATACCAGTTGTTAAAAAGACGAATAATGCTCAAATTACATTCAGTTATGAAATAATAACTCAGGGAAAACTGGATGGTTTTGATACTCCTACTTTCTCAAGATCATAACCTCCTCTGGGTACAGCAGGCCCCACAGCAACATACTGTGTATGTAGAATCACCTGCTGTGCTATTCTTATTTATCTTATTTATAATTGGTAGAGATTATTTATTAGAGAAAAATCAATTGTGCAGGAGAAATGCAGTGTAAATACAATTTGCACTGTACTTGTAATTAGCATTTCTGGTGCTGATTACTATTTATTGTTAAAGAATTTTACAGTACAGTGATCTCTTATGTAACACAACTGACTTTATTTTTTTGCATATGCTGAAATAAAAAAAAAACAATTGCAAAAAAAACAAAGAACTAATTCTTTCCCCAACATTTCACACATTTCAACGCAGCAGCGCATTCTGCAAATGCATGAATCTTGACACTTAGATTTAGATCAGTCAACTCAACACATTTATATACACACATTTAAAGGTGGACGGAAAATGTTCCCGTTAATCTATGACTATGACTCATCATTACCATGTAAGATTGATACACTTGATATATCAAAACTTTATAATTGCTCAGTAAAATATTTGCTATCAGTTTCTTCTGCATGAAAGCGACTGGATTGTTTATATTAAGGAAGAAAAGAGTCGTTTCTTTGAGGATTTATTTTCAGAAATGTTAAATTACAAATAAAAACTAAGAAAAAAAACAGGAAACAAACATCAGTGCTTCGCATTAACAAAAAATAACCCTCCAACTGATAGTCCAAATCAGCATGTATTTCAAGGGACAAACCTGTTCACACATCTCTGTACATGTACCATAGTTACAGACTACATGGAAATGGATAACATCCAATCAATACTTTACAGATAGTGAGAAACAATGTACAAATATCATCTGATCATTATTATTTTTAGAGGGGAAAGCAAAAGAAGTCCATTTCGTCCAGTCACAGGTGGGTCACATGGTTTGGTTGATGGTTAGGGATTGGTCGTGTGAAGATGTTCCTCAGCCCCAGAGCAAGCTAGAAGACAACAAAGAAAATCAATATTAAAACATCCTTGAAAATATGTTACTGACTTAGTGAGGAAATAATAGTGTGATGTATTAACAGCATTGGCAAAATATATATATGTATAAAAAAAAAAACATGCTTACAAACGTTATCACAACTATCACTATGTAACTATGTTACATGGGCTGCTAACACACAGAAGTCCTGAAAACTTAACAATTTTGAGTTGTACAGGATGTTGTTTAGCGCAGCTCAGCAGAATGCAGTGCATTTAAAAAACAAACAAACAAAAAAAAAACCCACATCCCCCCATGGGATGAAACAGTTAACCCCCTTTTCCATTAGTACCTACTTGGATCGACTCGCCATGGATCGGCCACGACTTGACTGGTTTTCCTTTATATTCAGTACTACACAGCGTGTGTGGTTGTCATCACAGCAACGCATCAAAGCGTCCCGCGACGTAATTAACATGCAAAACAAAGGCTACATAAAAGGTGGATGTCGAGGCAAGAATAAACCTACTGCTCAGTCCGTGGCTTTTTGTCAGACTCGGGGAACACAGTTGTTTCCATCGAGTGACGCTACTGACCAGCCAATCGGTGGTATACAGTCTGATGATGTCACATTTTAATATGTGTTTGGATCGTTGGAACCCGGGCCAAGCAGGTACTTAAAAAAAACCCAGGTATTATGACCTAATGGAAAACCCTGTAAACCATGGCGAACGGTGCCGAGTTGATCCGAGTAGGTACTGATGGAAAAGGGGCTTTAAAGTCCTGGAAAACAAACAAAAAAATTTACATCTCATGATTTTAAGATAATCCACTAAAATGCAAAATAGAGAATTTTGCTATCATACCACTTGTACATCACGTTTAAATGCTTTGCAGAACGGTGCAAAAGTCTTGTGCCGACTCTCATTTCTTTATATTTTGCTTCCAAGCAGCCAGACTTTCTTGTAACTTTTTTAAGTGGTGTAGAGCAACAGTTCTCCAAGTTTTTTGAAAGTCTTTTAAAGTCTTCCTTGGACATAGGTTGCTTTTTTCACTTATTCTCAGTGCCATCCCTGTACCTGACCAGCATCGTCATACATGCTAAAAAAGACACTAAATGTACATGTTAATTTCTAAAATATTGAAAACAATGACCACAGCTTAACTAAAGTCATAATTTCATATTGAATTATTTGCTTGTTCTCATATTTAAACAAAATCAAATCTCTATATAAAGTAAAAACAAACACACTGCTGTTGAGACTGGGGAGGCGGAGGAGGCGCAACAAGCAGCTCAGTTTCTGGTAAATATAGGTTACCTTTTTTCCTGTTTATCTATACTGAGATAACAGACAAGCCGTACATGATGCAATAGGTTCTTAAAAAAAAAAAAAAAATTAAAAAAACAGAAATAAAAAAGATAAGAGATTCTTACAGGACTAAAAATAGCCTCACATCAGTATTCCAAGGCGGGTATTAAGATATCACACATCCTTTTCTCTTCAAGCTATCATTCAACTTTGTTAAATGGGCAGTTTTACTTAAAGAATAAACTGTTTTGACATATAATGTATTTTCATCCTTATGTACATGGTCTAAGTGTACATGAATAATCCCTACAATGACCCTACTTCATGAGACTGGACATAAATCTTGTTGGTCAAGAGTTCGCCCCCCCCCCGATGTATTATTTGACTTTGGATCTAGGAGTAGGATGCTTTATTTTATTACACACATCTCAGACCGATTCGTCTTACCTTAAGAAAGTAGGTTCAGGCATCCCTGGATCTGCTCCTCGTTTGAAACCTGTAAGTCAAAACCATAAATAAGAATTACGAGGTGATTCTTGTAAGGCACGCTCAAATGTACAAGACACCAACTAACAGTTTTGAATTTCAGTGCAGTCCTCGTGTGCAATATTTGTCCCCACACAAAACCACATTGTACCCCTTGAACATAACTTCTTTTGTACACTTTATAATGTGTAAATAACTCATGTAAAGTGCACTATTCTACTGCTCAGCTCCATACCATTTAGGTTTATTTTCACTTGAATGTTAAAGCTCAAATGAGTGGGGCTCGATTAGTGCTGAAGCGCTGGTGCACACATGACAGAGGAAAAGAGAATATACCGAAACTTTAAAGATGAGAAAAGAAATACGATGATGGCAAGATCTAAACATAAATCCCCTTTATTGAAAGCATTTTTTGGGGGGTGGGGGTGGTCCCTCAAATTTGGAGATATGAATTTGAGCACCGGTTTTACTCATATTGTGGTTTATAACTAGTTTCGAGCCACAGTGAGTAAAAATACTGTCCTGTTGAGAACTAATGAAGCAAATCATTTGCTACTTCAGTGATTACAGTGCGTCAGCAGAATGCAAAAAGACCCAGCAAAACATCCTGCTTTCATTAAACTAGCTTAGATCAGATCATTCCACAAGCAGCAGAAGACTACAAATTCATATCCCCTGATATCGATACTTCTGCCTTCATTTAAAGTCAAGGAAGTAGTTGAGCCTGACGCAAGACATTCTCCAAAAAAAAGATAAGAGGATCCCAGAAGGCGAAAAATAGGGTAAAACCTGATTTCTTTGGCTGTTTTGTTTAGACCCGTCAGGTGATCACTGTGCCTAAGTTTAATTACATACAGGTGTATCAGAATCTATCGTGGGGCGATCGTGGCTCAAGAGTTGGGAGTTCGCCTTGTAATCGGAAGGTTGTCGGTTCGAGCCCCGGCTTGGACAGTTTCGGTCGTTGTGTCCATGGGCAAGACACTTCACCCGTTGCCCGGTGGTGGTCAGAGGGCCCGGTGGCGCCAGTGTCCGGCAGCCTCGCCTCTGTCAGTGCGCCCCAAGGTGGCTGTGGCTACAACGTAGCTTGCCATCACCAGTGTGTGAGTGTGTGTGTGTGAATGGGTGGATGACTGGATGTGTAAAGCGCTTTTGGGTCCTTAGGGACTAGTAAAGAGCTATACAAATACAGGCCATTTATCCAGTGCGAAGTCAGAGTGATTGTTTCCATGTGATAACAGAACACGTAGGTGTCCGGTGAAATCGTCACCAACTTTACAGCTCCTGTATGCTTCGACCCCTTCAGCACCCTCGCCTTAACCAATGTTTCTGATCCAGAGTGTCCTGATTTGAGCTAAGTGCAGGAAGGTATTCATTCATGTGTGAAACCGGGATGGGCCACGTAGCCTTCAAATTACATCACGATATTTCAAGAAAGTTTTCCGTAACAAGATTTCTGAAATGTAGAAAAAAATTTTTTTGCTCCACTTGCAGCTTGCAGGCAGCAGCAATCACAAGTGGAAGCAAATGATAGACATTTCCCACTGAGCTGTCATTGATGACACACTTCCTAATCTGAAGTGTGAATTTATTAAAAGAAGGTGCCGATAGCATCCGCAGCAGTATTATGGTGCAACACCAGTGACACAGCCTAAGTTAAATGTAAGCACAAAAGCAGCCCGTGATGCTGATCCCCTACAACCCATCCAGAATTCGGGCTCCCACAGAATGTCTTCTGTATGCCACACAGCCAATCAATTACAGACGCTCCTGGCATCAAGAGGCCACATCTAAAGGTCAGTCTAAGGTTTGCCAGTGAACATCTAAATTATTCAGAGAAGGTTTAGGAGAAAGTGGTGTGGTCGTCAACTCGACCTGCTGTGTTTGGAGGAAGAAAAATGTTGAGTATGAAGCAAAGAACACCATCCCCACAGTCAGGCACAGAGGTGGAAACATTATGCTTGGGGATGTTTTTCTGCCAAGGACAACTTCACTTCATTGATGGTCCAATGAACAAGGCCATGTACTGTAAAATCATGGAAAAGAACCACCTTCCCTCAGCCAGGACACTGAAGATGAGTCGTGGGTGGGTCTTCCAGCATGACAATGACCCAAAACATTCTGTCAAGGCAACAAAGGAGGGGCTAAAGACGCATATTAA